TTTCAGGCGCTGGGGGTTCCCCGATGTGGACTTATTCGCTACTCGACGGAACAGGGTATGCGAGACTTACTGTTCCAGAGCGGGAATCGGACAAGCATCCCTAGGGGATGCATTCATGATCCCTTGGGACAACATCAACTTCTATGCTTTCCCTCCGATCCCTCTTCTGATGAGGGTCATAGCAAAGATAGTGAGCGACCGTGCATCGGGGATACTAGTTGCCCCTTGGTAGCCACGTCAAGCGTGGTTTGCGAAACTGCTCGACATCTCCCGCGGGGAGTTTCTTGATCTTCCAGCACTTCCATATCTTATAACGCAAATGGACGGCACACTTCGTCACCTGGACTTGCTCTCATTGAACCTGACAGTGTGGCGGATTCGATGATTGACCTTCCATTGGGGCCGACGACGGATTCGAGAGCCTCGGATCCAACAGCTTCTACTAATCCATTGGTACCGACGATTACTTCGACCACTTCGGTTCCGATTCTCTAATCCAACCATGCGGGTGCCTCTCACTGCCACAGTCTCTCCGTACCATCCGGTTCGAGACAGGCCCCGTCGAATTTGAACCCAACGCTCTTGCACCCTGAGATTCAGCATATTATCGACTCTGCCCTAAAGCCGTCCACAAGGAAGTCATATACGGCTAAATGGAAACGTTTTTCCACCTTCGCCGAGTCTCATTCGTTCTCCCCACTTGTCTCATCAATCGAACAAATTCTTCAGTTCCTTCTGGAGTTGCATCACTCTGGACTGAAGCCATCTTCTATTAAAGTGTATACGGCCGCAATAGCCTACCACCGTGGCTTAGTCGATGGATCACCTCTATCTTCTCATCCTATCCTCGAGATTTTTGAAAGGACTGTATAATCTTAATCCATCAATTAGACCGGTTATGCCCACGTGAAGCCTTTCTGTAGTTCTACAGGCCCTTATGAAGGCCCCCTTTGAACCTTTGGCGACTGTGGATCTCCGATTAGTTTCTTGGAAGACGGCGTTCCTTGTAGCTGTCACGTCAGCCCGGAGGGCCAGTGAACTTTGTGCCCTCCGCGTCGACCCTCCTTATCTAAACTTCCACAGAGAAAAGGTCATTTTACGTCTCGACCCATCTTTCTTGCCCAAAGTCTCTACACCTTTCCATACAGGACAAGACATTGTACTGCCTGCCTTTTTTCCATTGCCATCGAATCCCTTGGAAAGATCCTTGCACTCCCTCGATGTTTGGCGTTGTTTAGCCTTTTATCGATCGCGAACGGAGTCTATTCGGCGATCCAATAAACTGTTCATCAAATATTCGGCTAGAGATCAGGGCGACCCAGTCACTCCACAAAGGCTTTCTAAGTGGATAGTCCACACTATTGTCTTGTGTTATCAGTTAGCTAAGCTCGAATTGCCCTCAGTTCCTCGAGGCCATTCTACTAGAGCTGTTGCTACATCTTCTGCATTCGCATCCGGGGTTCCGATTGATGACATCTGCAGAGCCGCCACTTGGGCGAATCCCTGCACTTTCGCCAAGCATTACCGTCTCGATGTTCGGGCTCAACGGGACTGCTCCTTCGGGAAAGCAGTTCTCTCCTCCATCCTTCAATGAGGACACCTTCCCTCCTTTTGATGGTAAGCTTGTTAATCTACCCATATGTGTGATGCACAGAGGCCACGACGAAGAAAAGCAGGTTGCTTACCTGTAACTGATGTTCTTTGAGTGGCCATTTGTGCAGTCACACAACCCGCCCGCCGGCCCCACTCGGTGTCGGTGAGTGGATGCATCGACAGCTCAATGTCGATGAGAGAGGGCATCTTCGGTACCGACCATCTCCTTTACGGTACCGACAAAAAAAAAAAATTCTATTAAGATACCATACGTTCGGTCGCAAAGACTGAACAAAATGGCGGACGCTCCGCTCTTTATAGGCCACAAGGGGGAGGGGGAGCGGAGCTTCCCGCAAAAAATGTTAGCTATCAATCTTCCGGCCAAAGGCACTGTGCAGACGCAGTACCCATATGTGTGACTGCACAGATGGCCACTCGAAGAACATCAGTTACAGGTAAGCAACCTGCTTTTCTCACACATTCCTCTTTCCCAGGTAGCCCCCTACGCTACCCCTCATGGCATAGGTGCTACAGCAGGAGCAGGGAATTCAGTTTTGGGATGAAATGCTTCAGCTCTCATGTTGGGGTATTTTGTCAGGTATATTTGTATCGAGTCAAATGTCAGCATTAAAGAGGCATTTAATGAACAGGCTGTGGCGGTGGAAAAGTATGAGTATGAGCACAAGTGAAATGTCGTCTACTTTCTAAAATCTGTGGATTAGACTTCCATACTTTGCTTTGGTGTCTGTGGTAACAAATGACGAGGTTTCTAACATATTCTCTTCTTTCCTGTTTATGTATGACCGCAAACAGGTTGTAACGAACAGGGACACACAAGAAACCCTCCTTTGTATGGCGTGTGTATTTGAAGTCTCAAACAGTGAACACGGTGCCCAACATCACATCTACAGGCTTGTAAAGGACTGAGCGGTTATTTATAGACATGTTTCCTTATTGTAACTCCTATGAAAACACAGACTGTCAACCTCAACACTAAGCGGCGGTTCCTCTGGCTGAGCTTTCCCCAACATTTTTCTAAACCTCATTTTAGTGTATCGATATATATTGTAGCTGTGAAATTCTGGTACAGTTGTACAAATTCTTTCTAAAACAAAGTGTTCTTCAAATTTATAAAACCACCATTCTTTGGGGAGACTATATTTAAGAATTTCAAAGCCTTTGTGGAAGTTTTAATTTTTCTGTTGTTGTATTAAAAAATAAATATAAGACAGAGCATTTGCCATGGGAAAACTTAACAGCAATTATAAGAGTTTATGAGGTGTTTTGTCTAAATTAATAAAAAAAGACATGTTTTTAAGATGCAAGTGAAATTGAAATGAATTTTAACTATAAGCATAAATTAGCACACGATTTTTTTAGAATTGTTTTCATAACTGATTACTGTGGAAGGTACAAACGAATGTAATTCACTAAATTATTTTATAACTGCAAATCAATTTCTGTTTGAAGCCAAATGACAAACATAGCCTTAAGAAATGCCTGATGGGAACAGACAGGTTCTAAAAGTAGGCAATTTTGTTTTCTTTCCCTTTATCTTAAAACTAACATTTTAATCCACTGAACTTTTCAAGCAGGTATTGCAGAGCGAGAAGACTTCCTCCCCTTTACTAATAATATCTAGTGGATATAAAGTATTGTACTAATAAGGACATTTGATTATTTAATTAAAAAGATGGCTCGTTTTGCAATAACTAGATAAATACTGAAAATTAGACCTATGGTGTATGTAATCTTGTGTGTGTGGTTATATATTATATGAGAAATTTTGTTTTGTTTTTCCTAATGACTCAAGAAATTGCAACACCAAAATTAGCAATTAGCGAATGTAAGTGGGGTGGGGGGGGATTAAAGTGCTGTAATCCAATTTTATTGTCAGCTTAAAACCACAAAAGAACTGTGGTTGAGATGATAACAGGTAAACAAATATAAAGTTCATCTGTTTTAATGTCTTTAGAATGTTAGAAAATCACAGCTATCAGCAGGCAAAAAAGACACTGCTATTTTCTTATGGTAACACTACATGATTTATGATTTGCTACACCAAGCACAGCTTAATGGCCGTGTACAGCAGCCTCCTCAGAATCCCCCAGCATGTCGCTCCCACACTGGTCAAACTTTTGATGCGCCTAACAATGAATAATTTCATATTCTCCTTCAGGTAGGGATGGACACTTTTTGAGGTGGCAGGGTTGTTTCCTCAGGGGTTGTGTGTTGAGGAAAGCATGTTGGTGCTGGGCTAAGCCCACCTCTTCTCTCTCTCGCTCTGTCACTTTCTTCCTCTCTGCCATCCCAATTTTCCCCCTTCCTTCTTTCCATCAGGCTCCTCCTTTTCCAGAGGAGAAATAGATTGCTTTGCCAGAGGTCTGAACTGATCTGTTTCAGAGGTTTCCTGCCCTTCCTTCCCCTACTCCATTTATTTTGGCTTCTGCCTATTTGTCACCTTTCTTTTCTCCCTCTGTACTCACTGCATAAAATTGGGCCTATGGCTACATTAAATTAGGCTGTGGGCTGCAGGTTCCCGCAGGCCTAGTTTATAAGCATACAAATTATAAGTATGTCGGCTTCCATCTCAGAAGCAGTTTCTCCTTCATTCAGTATAAAGACTGAAACTTGGCTTTATCAAATTTATATTAGTATAAATGTTAAGCCATGCATGGTACATTCTCATAAGGCAAAAGGTACATGCCTTAATTACACATTCTGTTTCCAAGCATGCCATCACCTTTTGAACACCCTCCTTTCTCTATCTGCTCTTTTTTCACTGTAGCTATAACCAAGTTTACTGGCTTGAAATATTGGTGCATTGCAACATGAAACACAAATATCAAGGGTCAGATGCACCTAGTTCCTCCACTCATAATTAATCGAGAAGTTTGTAGGGTTAGATCATCTAGGAACGTAGCAATGATACTTTCAAGTTTCAGTATTTTCTTTTCAGACCTGTTTCTTTGGTCTTTGGAACCTTGGGCTTGCCCCTCCGCTCTCCAGCCTGCTTCCTGAAATATGAAAAGCTGCATAGTTTACAGAATGGAATCATGAACTTGTAAATATCCATGGGGAAATTCCCTTTATTTTTGCTGCACTAGGTCAATAGCGAATGCACTTAGAAATAGAGCCCGTGCACAGTTGAGAAAAAAATTCAGAGTGCTGCTTAGAATAATTGGTATTTATAACAAAATAAGCAGGTTGTCGGCCATAACACAGAAAAATCATGGAGGTCTTTCACAGTTGGAAATATTCATCTTAGAAGTGGTGGTGGGGGGTGCTGGTGGGGCTGAATACTCAGAGTATAAAGTTTCTTACTTAATAAAAAATAGCTTAGAGATTTATGTTCTGTCCAACCTCTGGAATGCAGCACCAAGTTGCAGGTTGCACTTGCAGTCTTCTGTTCATGGCCACATCCAACCTTCCTAACAGTGCCCCTCTGACATCTGAAGAGGTGAGCTGCAAAGAACCAGTGTGGCATCAGAAGGTGCCAAATCGCTTCGTAGTCCCCAGGTTTGCACACACAGAGTAGCTCTGGAATGGGTAGCGTACAGAATCTTAGCGCCTTGTGCAAGTTGAGCTTCTTTGGATGTACAGATATTAAGACAGATGAACTCCTTGGGCTGCAATCCTATGCCTATTTACCTGGGAGAAAGTCCTGTTGAACTCAGTGGGACTTACTTCTGAATAGACATGCCTGGGATTATGCTGTCAGTAATTTTAACTCTGTGAACTGTAAAATTGAGTATGTGTGGCTGGGTCTCTTCATCAGTCTTTAATGCTAACAATGAATTTTAGAAAAGCACTGCATCTTACCTATCTAAAATTGCTCCTTATTTTGAAGCACTTGGTGTTACAAGTCTAAAACTACTCTTTTTAATGTTATCATTTATGAGGCTTTTGGTTTTGATGGGTTTATTTTAAATGAAAGAAGTTTTTAAATGTTAGAATAATTATACAGTTTAAGGCAACTCCTTGTGGCGTATAAAATAGTCAGTTTGCAAACCAGGTACACTTCCTTTTTTCCTGTTAATACAGTCTGCGACATGATGTATGTAATAACTATGTGGTTTAAAGAGTCACAATGTTTCTTGGCGTTCATTTTTGTAAGACGTATGGGGATCTGTTTGCCTTGTCATTAACTTTATGTGGATGTAAATGATCCCGTGCCCTTCCCTGTGCATGTTTCCTCTGGAAAGCCTTAAGTCTGTCAGATGTTTAGTGTGGATTGTGTAGTCCAAAAGGCTGCCTGTAAACTGTGAGCTCTTTTGTAAGCTGGAAGCTTCTCTCTTGTTGCTGTTACTTTGTCGTAGGAACTTCTCAATTCCGAGCTGCCAAAGCATTACAATATGCAGTGCCTTAGTGCTACATTAGAAGTACATTTTAGCCTATCATGCCAATATTATGTAGTCCATTAATTGGTTAACCTTAAGAAGAAAAATCTCCTAGAGAGAAGCCTTTCGTCTACTTTGTCTAAGACACATTCATATACAAGTCAGTCCCCATTGCTACATAGTTGGAATATCTATACCAAAATGAGATGTTAACAGCTCTAGAATTTTCTGCAGAAAGTGAATTGTATGACTAATGCTGCCTTCTTAAATTCTCATGACCAAATACTTAACTTTTGTGACTCTCTGCACTCTTGCATGCAAGTGCCTTTGGTTTTGAAATTCCAGCTTAGAAAAGTGCTGCCATAATAATGACAATTTATAGAGACCAAAAATATTTAAAGATCACCATAATGCCTTTGGTTTATTGGAAACAGTCAAAACTAACAGGCCTCCATTCTCAAAAGAGTAACTTTTTATAGTAGCGTGCTTTTTGCAAATCACAAGAGTGCATAATGCTGGAAAACTATTCTCCGTGTTATTCAGCTTGTTCGTCTTTGTTTCTGCAGCACTGCTGACTGGCAATGATAGGAAAGCAGTCGGTAATTCACCTTTGCCATGTTTTTCTCCACCCAATCTTGCACCTGAGTAATGAATCTGTATACATAGCAGAATTTCAGGCAAAGGACAAATGTGACTCTATTAATATAGTAGTTCTAAATCTGTGAAGATGGTTTTCTTTATCTTAAATTTGCACTTATTTTGTTTACAAAGTTGAGCGGTTAAATGCCTAAAATTGGAAATGAAAGTGTGGATCAAAATGTAGCTGACATTTGACCTGTGCTTTTTAGCACCAAATTCTTAGGAATGAATGACAAAACATAATTGAAAAAACCTTTAAACTGGCAACGTTCAGGACTTTCCTGTTGTCGTTGCAGGAAATACAGTATGTTCAAATAATTTGTGCCATTTAAACATCATTTGTGAATTTGGATACTATCATTTATTTCAAGAGACATTGACAACATTGAGATTGATTCAGAGGGACACAACATAATTAATTTTATCAATGAGAACTAATAGCAGTAAAACCAAAAGCTGGCAGAGATTTGTAGCTGTGAGTACTTTTGTTTAATAGACAAACATTAAATAATTTCATTTAAAATTAGTGTGTGGCTCAAAGAAAGTATGTATTTGTTGGTATACCCCCAGACTCTAACAGTGTGATCCTATGCATATCTACTCAGAAGTAAGCCCCATTGAGTTCAACAAGGCTTACTCGCAGATAAGTGTATAGGATTGCAGCCTAACTTGCATTCATATTGGAATTTGTTCCTCAGAGATCCAGATCACATTCAGTTTGGCGGTTTACACAACATGCTATAGCTTATTTAAGCCACAACAACCATGACGTCCAGAGGCACCATCCTGACTGTCTGTTGTTGTGCCGTGCAAACTTAGCGAATGGGCTCAGGTGAAGGTTGCTTAACTCTCATGTAACCCCACTGGCCAGAGTCACACCATGTAGCGACACACCATCAGGGCACAATATTCAGGATGATACCTGCAGATTCTGCAGCCATGGCATGTTGTGCAAACCCAGTCGCCTTCTTGTCACGTCGAATCTAGTAAGGGTTGCTTGGCCTCAAAAGTACACAATATATATTTACAACTAGTGGATATATCTGCTGAGACAGATATAGGTAAGCAAGTGGCTGGAGTATATTTTATTGCAAAGGAATCATTTTTATTTATTGTCGTATGTACAAAATTGAAAAAAGAAATAATGGTACCATTTGTGACAGTTGAAATATAGCTTACTTTACAAATGTAATTTTGTACTTACTTGAATTCTAGAATGGTTTATTTAGGTACTGTACCACTATTTTGTATAATTTGCAACTTTTATATCTGTTTTCCCACCTTCCACCAGTGCTAGAGCCCGTTCATTTTGACAGCTTGATTGAACTCAACCTTCCTGTTTTTAGTCATAATTACACTGAATGGAAACAACTGCTAGTCTGAAGTTACGTTACAGCATTGGAAAACCTGTAAAACTGCATACTCAGTTTTGCTGATCTGATTCCTAGGGCATTCTTGCTTTTGTATGACTCAGTTTTAACATCATGCCATACCATTATTCAGGAAGCTTATCTATGGTTTAGCAAATTGACCAAACACATTTTGCAATATGTCAAAAATCATGGCTTGAAGTGCACTTGCAACTAATTGTTTGTGCTCTCTATATAAGCTGAGAAGTCTGAATTGACAAACCGTAGTTACGGCCTTTGCTCAACCTGCAGAAGCTGATGCATCATGGCAGTGGGAATAAACCTATGAACCCTTGAGTACATTGCCAAACCATTGGTTAATTAAACCATAATTTACTGCTGTGCTTACTGGATGCAATCTGCAGCTATTTTGATAATCACCCCCTCCCTAAAATCAAGGGTTTCTATGTGATATCCAAACCTAGACACACCGACCCTGAGTGTTCAGAAATAATAAATGAAAGCAGACAAGTAGCTCAAAGCCATGGTTTACCCGTTAGACATTTGGAAACTCAAACCACGTTTATTTTATGAGCTTTGGCTCTTGGGCGAAATAGAAATGTAACATCAAACTTTTTTAATGGCAAGCACAAACCATGGTTTGGCATGTTTTCTAAACTGAGCCTGTCTTTCACAGGTTAGGATTATTCAGTAACAGAATAAAACCATCACTTTTAAGATAGTTGACATCAGCACATATCGTACCACACTTATGGCTCTATAGGAACCAGTATATGCAGCACATACCATCTGTGATGGCAGCTGCCAAGAAGCTCTTCGGTCTGCTGGTGGTCCATGCCGCAGGGAGTGGCACTCCGTTACCTCTGCCGCGTGCGATGTACTCGATGCTTCCAGGGCTTGCACGCCAGTGCTGGCTGACTTGGACGACCTCAGATGCATGGCAGGGGTTGGAGCCATAGCACGCGATAAAGGGTTTAAGCATCATTCCCTGCCGCATTGATCTGCCTGGGGAAGGGACTGGGGCAGCTACCATGGGTGGCTGGTAATGTATCAACTGGTCTGCATTTTAGTCAGTACTCAGGTTGATTTTTTAAAATCTTCTGTTCCTTTCTCCCAGCCATCTCCCTGAAAACAAAGACTGGATAATTTGAAGTATAAAGAAGTTTCAAAGTCTTGATCTATAGCTTAGCAAGTTAGTCTGGCTGTGATATTTAAAATACACACACACACACAATTAGTTCCACTGTGTCAATTAACTCTTAATGCACTCAGTTCACAGAGAGGATATGCCCTGTTACCTCCTTACACAATGTTTTTGCTTTTGTTTTGCATTTTGTTTTTGTTTTGTTTATTTTTAAGTGGGCCTCTACTTCAGGCTCATGACTGCAGAGAAAAAATACAATATGTGCCTGAAAAAGACAAAAGAATTTTATAACAGTTTTTAAAACCTGAATAGCCTTTAATTCTTTAATATCAGTACATTTTATGAACAATTTTCTTTCTGTTTTTTTATTTGCCACATGCATTTGTTCACATTTGTAAATGACTTAATGGAATTCTCACTTTGTTTATTTGTTAATGTGTATAAACTGGGTTTGTGACTTAAGCATATTCATATATGGTCAGTGGTTACTTTAATATTGTACTGCTGCTGGGTTTTTTGTTTTTGTTTTGTTTTCGTTTCGCTTTTTTGGGTAGGGAGGCATTTGGATGACAAAGTACCTCTTGTTTAGACATAGAGGGAAAGCTCTTTCTTTTTTAAAAATGAAACTTTTCAAATCTTGTCTTAACATTTTTGAGGTTTTCAAAATGCGTTTCAATCAGACCTTTTGGCAGTACAGTATTCTTGTATTTGTTGTCGTCTGTGTGTAGGTACTGGTACCTTTTTTGTTTTAAAAAATGTTTTAAGTGTTGGCTTTAAAGTGAATTTATCTTTAGTATGATAGTAATATGAAAATTATAGGGTTTGTGTGCAGAGAATTTTTTTTATAAAAGTGCTTTGTAAAAAAAAAAAGTATTCTAGCTTTCGCGGTACATATGTGTGATAACTTTAATATCCATGACAGTTAAGTGCAATTATTTCATCACTCTAAAAATGCTATTTTTGTGTCGGTTACTGCAGGTGTTCCATGTCTTTGCAAAGTGACACATTTTGATGCCTTCTTGATAAAGTGGTAGATTTTTTGTAGCTTTCTAGAAACTTTGTATTCATACAGTATCGATTGAAAATAAAGAAAATAAAAGTCATGATTGCTTTTGTTTTAATTTGCCTAGAAGTCATCAGTGGGGCAGCCAAGGAGGGCTCTGTATCATCTGATGTCACTGGGGCCGTGTACGCCAGGTGCCAGGACATGATCGTGGCAGGCACTGTTTCAGGCGGTGCTGCGGTTGCAAAGGATGGGAAATTGCATTTCTTCATTGTGGCCTCTGTGCATCACACATTATTTCTCTTAATCGTGCAAGCCTACATATACCTACTTAGAAGCAAGGACCACAACATTCTTGTGCCCATTTGAAGGAAATGGCCACAGGGTTGCAGTCCAAGACTGAGATCCTCAAAAGAGAAGCACTACCTTGAGGAAAGGTGACAAACGAGTGACCGCCACGTAGCTGTTATGTCCCACAGTGATATTCTCAGAGGTGTTATGAACAGTATCTTCTAGATGTTGTTAAAACAGAAGATGTTGGGATATCATTATTCCTCTTGTTTTCCTAACATGTTGGATGTGTTGGCGGGGGGGGGGGGGGCAGTGACCAGCCCATCCTGACTATTCCCTCAAGTCCCTGTCTGCAGTTTGTGTGTGGGTTCTGCATACAGTGGCAGAGCCAAGGTTTTCATGGGACCCAGAGTTCAATGTATGCAGACACCTCTCTGAGGACATTCATGATGTCTGCACATGCACCAAGACCAACTGGACTTACAGAATGCCGGGTAGGGCTAGTTGGTGGGGCCTGTTCCCCTTTCTCAAAGTAGTTCTGTGCCTGAGGAAGAGAACTGCTTGAAGAGGGATGTGAAGAGAGTAATGGCTGCTCATAAGTCATATGCTTCGTAGGCTGCAATTCTAATCAAATTAACTTGGAGCAAACCCACTGAGCATAATGGGCTTTGCTTCAGAGACAACATGTGTAGGATTTGAGATTGAGGTTGCTCTATGACTTTGGTTAGATCTCCTCATTCACTGGCCAACCGTTTGGAAAGACTTTTTAATATAAACTTGGATTCATATCTGACACTTCCTCTTCTATAGCCCCTTCTATTCCTAGAAGGATCTTTGATCCAGAGAAGGCTTCCACTGGTGAAAGGGCAGTGGTTCCATGCCATCAAGTATGGAACTTGTTCTCGTATGCTCTAACAAGGCTTTTATTTCCGGGCCACAAGCTGAATACTGAGTAAGAAAAAGTAATGGGAGTGATGTGAGATTCCAGAAGCAACAGCATTGCACCATTTAAAGTAAGAAGACAAGGGGGGAAATAGTACTAAATTATTTTCCCTCTCCCCCAGACACTCACCTTTATAATCTTTGGAATCAAGTGGTTTAACAAGATAATGGAACAGAGAGACACCCCGATGCCCTGGGCAAGGAGGAATGTGTGCAATCCTGAATGTGTTACTTTTAATTTGATTTGAACCATGTCTTTCCACCCAAAATGCCTCTCCCAGAGGCTTGAGTTGCCTGTTCCAGAACACATGCAGAGGCTGTGAAAACCGTCCCAGGCACTGAAGAGGCTGGCGACAGGATGAATCTACGGGTAACTGTTCCAGCTACGCCCTGAAACTCTGTGGTGAAGCAGTTGCGCGGCTGCAGCTGGCAGACTTCTGTGTGTGGGAAATCCAGTTCAGGGAGGCAGATGGAAGGTCAAGAGGTGATGCTGAGGACAAAAGCTGCACAATCGTCACCCGGATGATGAACTTTGGACTGCTCCGTCATCCCCAAGCAACTCATTAGGCATGCAATACTGAGCTCTGGCATCAACTTTGTTCCAGAAAGAGGTAGGAAGCAGCCGTGCTATCAGAATGTTTCAAACATTTTGAATCTGCAATCCTATACCCACTTACTTGGGAGTAAGCTGCATTGAACTCAGTGGGACTTAATTTGGAGTACAGGGGTGCAGTTCAAGAGATTAATTTGGCATGAAAGTTTTTGTGTAGCCCTGAACACCAAAGGCCAGTCGTATCTCCTCTTTCATCTGGCACTTAGCTGTTTGTCTTCCGTTGGCTATTAACATATTTCTGTAAGCCCATCTTACTGCTTTCCCTACACTTGCCACTTGTCATTGTATTCAAGTTTCCCAATATTCTCTCCATGTACTCCAATTTTTGGATTTTATTTGTCCTGTATTGCCTTCAACAACACATTACCTGAGATTGCTTTCTCTCTTTTCATTATTGTGTTTGTATAGCTATACAAATCTGTGATCCTTCCATTGTTTCTTTTCATATATTGCCAAGAAGTGCGGTAAAAATTTTTTCAAGGGAAGCATTTCAATTCCATGGGAAAGAGTGCTATTTTGCAGAAGTGAAGAGTATTCAAATATTTCAGAAATGTGGACATTTCCCCCTTCAAAACAGCTTTAGTATTTAAACATGGTGAATTAAGCTTCCCTTGTTTCTGCTTTTTTGAGTTCTATCAATGCCTTGCTATGGCTTTTGAAAGATTTGTTGAACCAACATGTTAGAGCAACAATTGCAACTGGCCTATGCAAGTTTTGCATCATTTTTGTCTCTTCTCCAGACAGCACGGATGCACCTTTTGGTCTGTAGGGCATTGTGATGAGAGAGTGATGTATGTCTTTACTAATCAGTTTTTAGAGCTGCAGCCATCTGTGCATTATAACCTGGAAGAAAGGAAATCCCATTTTTTCCATGGAGCTAAAAATTCCTCTTAGCAGACCTGAATTTCTAAATACTTCTTTAATTTTGCAGAAATGTCCAAAGTCTAAAACGAGATCAAGGATTAGCAGCTGGATTCCAAACAGGCCTGTGAGCCCAGATGTGCACACATCCCCATGGAGAACAGCTGAGGTTTATTTTTCGGTGCACTGTAGCAGATACTAGCAACCTTGGATCTATATTATCATTGCAGAAGGACCGAAGCAAATCCTGTGTTATTCACCAGCTGCTACTACTCCACCAGCACACAGTATTATTGCCACTACTGAATTATATCCTGCCTTTATCCCTTACCTAGTCCTCCACCTTCCCATTTTCTTCTCTCCACATCCCAGTGAGCTGGCTTAGGCTGAGATCCAGAGACACCCAGTGAGCCCCATCATGGCCAAGTGGAGACTAGAAATCGGACCCCCCCTCCGAGTCCCACCCAACACTCGCACCGCCATACCACACCCGTTTGCACATTTGGCCTATGAGGTGGGGAAAGAGAAGAATTGGGGATGGAGAAGTCCTGAAGTGGCACAACAAGTGGCAAGGCAGTCCGTCTTCCGTGAGCCCTTTGCATTGCTCCTTAGCCTGCTGACATGTCCTCCTGATTTTCAGAATCATGCGCGATTCAGTGGTTCCAGGTAGCCTTCGAGGCAGAAGCTCGTGCAGGAAGTTGAGCTCCAAGCAGCACGATTTGGGAAAGAGCGATTTATCTCCTTGATGGGGAGCTCCAGCTCTCGCTGGCCATGCCTCCCCCTAAATGGGGCAAACGGGGCACCTCATGGGTTCAGATCTCTACTACTCAAAGTTATTTAAAATAGGGTGCTGTGGGCCCTGCAGGGCCAGCTGGGAAGGTGAGAAGAAGAATGGCAGCAGCTGCAACAGGGTCGGGGCCACATGGGCCCTCCTGAGCATGTGACCCTCAACCTCTGCCCAACCATGCTGGACTTTGGTGCCTGGCCTGGTCTCCATTATAATTTGTAGCTTATTGTAGTGTGTCTTATTAGTATCTTTGGATTTTCTTTTTCCACTAAAGGCACCAGCCATACATTGCTGTCAGTAATTCTGCCGGGGCAAAATGGTTTTTTGCTGCATTTCTGAACTGCCAAATAGTTGAAACTCTCTAGGTGGCTTACAACATTTAATATAAGAGGAACACACACACACCAAACTCCTGATTCAGCAGCAAGCATAAACTAACCAGGAAGCTGTCTCCACACTAGCCATCAGCAACACACGCTTCTGGCTGACAGCGTGGCCGGTGAAGTCCAGTTTAAAAGCAAATATTAAATTGCCAGGCTGAGGGACAGCTTCAAAACATGAGGCTGCTTTGCTAGGCTGCCGGTGTGCTTAGAACTGTATCTTGTATTTAAAAACAACAAACCTGCACTTGTCTTAACAAGGGGAAAAATCACTAACGTGTTTTATGGCAAAGCTCAATTCATCGTTCTCCAACTCCCAACAGAACTGTTCTTTTCCTTTCAAAGGACTTCCAAGCTGAGTGCAGGTGAACCGTCTTGGAAGGCATGTAGGAGAAGGCATGACTGTTAAGACTCAACAGACTGGCTTCCTGAATGGATTACCCATCACTTCAGCGCTGCCTCATCCCCTCTTTGTTCTCCCAAATGCTGCAATTGTCCCCGATGATATAGCAGCAGTTTTCTGATACCCAGACAAACCACTTCCACTGTTGTTTTGGCACACACTGTGACCTCAAGGCATTTGATGAAGCAGGACAGAGTCTGGTCAGTGCAACCTTAAACAGAGGCACTCAAGAAACTGCCTTCTTTCCTATGCAGTCACTGAATCTTTAACTCAATCTGTTTTTGTGGAATACTCAACACACACACCCATTAATAAAAATACAAATTATGCCAATTCTCCTCTTCCAGATAGGCGACAGCTATTGTACAGTAAAACCTAGAAAAACGGGATCCTTCATATGATTTAATGTTGTGAGTGTACAATGAGAAAGATCTTGCAGCTGCGTAGATTGCTTCTGGCAGGAGCTGCTGACCACTGCCTTATGTGTCACTCCAGCTTCTCAGTGAAGAAGCTCCTGGTCTGACTCACCATGATTCCACCAGTGCCACTTGAGCAGGAAGTAGTTGAAGGGGTCTTCCTGTCTCAGGACAACTTTGCTTGCACAACAAAGCCTACCTGAGCTCTGGTGTTTCTGCTCTTGCTCCTTGGTTTTGACCCCTGGCTTCTTCTGTGGACCTGCCTTCTTGGAACTTTCTGATCCTGGTTTCTCTTCATTCTTATCTCCCAGATCCTGGCTCCTGGCTCATTCAAGGATCTGCCTTGCCCACAGCCCAACCCTGAGAGATTGCTCAAGCTGAGTAAATGGGCCTTGAGTGAAAACAGGACC